ATTCATTTTTAAATTTGAAACCCATCAAATTTATTAATAATTTTTTTTATTTTGATTCTTAAAATCCATTTGCCTGCGGGCGCCCATGCCTCTCCTCAAATTTGTTTTCCATAATTTAACTCTTGTTTAACCTTCTTTTAATTTTTGATGGTCCGCTAGTGCCTCATAAATATTTATTATTTCATGATCTTATTATTGTAAATAAAACTAAGAGTTTAGGAAAAGTGATAATGTTGACTGCAGTCTTTAATATTTATTTTTAATACACTTTTTTTCATAATTTTTGTTTTTTGATTCTTAAAATCCATTTGCCTGCGGGCGCCGATGTCCCCCTTCCCATTTTTATTTTTAAATTTAAAATTGTATCAATTATTTGTATATTTTTTTTTTGTTTCTTAAAATTCATTTGCCTGCGGGCGCCAATGCCTCCCTTCAAATTTTTTTTCATAATTTAACTCTAGTTCAATTATTTCAAAACCGTTTTCAATGTTTTGTGGTCGGTTATTAGTGCATCATACATATTCATTATTTCATCAGCTAATTATTGTAAATAAAGCATTGAGTTTAGGAAAAGTGATATTATAGACTGCAGTCTTTAAGATTTGTTTTTAATACACTTTTTTTCATAATTTTATTTTTTTGATTCTTAGAATTCATTTGCCTGCGGGCGCCCATGCCTCCCTTCACATTTTTTTTTTCTATAATTTAACTCTACTTTAATTATTTAAAAACATTTTTAGAATTTCGATAACCACTTAGTGCCTTATAAATATTCATTGTTTCATGATCTAATTATTGTAAATAAAGCATTAACCTAGGAACACTGATATTATAGACTACAGTATTTAAGATTTGTTTTTAATACACTTTTTTTCATAATTTCTGTCTTTTGATTCTTAAAATTCATTTGCCCGCGGGCGCCCATGCCTCCCTTCACATTTTTATTTTTGAAAATTGAACTCTACTTCTTTTTATTTAAAACCGTTTTTTAATTTTTGATGGTCGGTTAGCGCCTCATAAACATTCATTATGTCCTTAGCTTTTTATTGTAAATAATACTATGAGTTTATAATATGTTAATTACATATACGGAGTTCAAGTCCGTAATAACGTTAAGGTTAATATATTCTATATTAATTATAGCGAATAGGGCGCCTAGAGCGTCAAGGCCCACAACAATATGTTGGAAATTATAAATTATTATAAAAACATAAATACTATAAATATAAATCTTCTTCTCATTATATTTAATGCAAAATAAATGTTGACGGGGCCTTGTTGGCAAATAATAAATAAAATTATTATTACACCCTAATTCTGTTATCTATTTGTGTTGAGACTGCTATTACCTCAAAATATTTTCTTATTTATTCCTGTATGATATCATGAACTAAGATATACTTAATAAATATTTAACTATCTGTTTTTACTTTTTTTATTATTCTCCAATATCTGGCTTGTTTAATTCCTATGATGATTTTGTGAAAAATTACAAATATATAGTTTTACCTATTTTTAGTTTAAATATATAGTATGATAAATATTTTAAATAATTTTGCACCTTTTTTTATTTGCAGTTTATATATTTTATAACCATTTAACAAATGATTAAAATTTAAAAGTTAGAACATCTAAAACACTATATCAGAAATACAAAGTATATTAAGAGGGCGCCACACCCGCATGCGTTGTCTCCGTCTTACAAACGAGTAACATACCAAATTTACGCTCAGCAGTTCAAGTTTTATGCCGTTAGCATAAAAATTAGAGTGAATTAACCTATTATGAAACTTGATGGTAAGAACTTTATCCGTGTTTTGTTGGAAGCTTTTTTTACGATACTTCAGTTTTTAAGCGAGGTATGCTTGTATAATAAATGTAAATTAAAAATGCTCATAACTCACTTAAAAACTGAATTATTGTAAAAAAACTTCCAACAAAACACAGATAAAGTTCTCACCATCAAGTTTCATAATAGGTTAATTCACTCTAATTTCTAAGCTAACGGCATACAACTTGAACTGCTGAGCGTAAATTTGGTATGTTACTCGTTTGTAAGACGGAGACAACGCATGCGGGTGTGGCGTCCTCTTAAGGAATAATATTATTGTTTATACTATGCACTAGATGTTAATGATGTGCGTCGTTACTCGTTACTTAGTATTACTTAGTAGTAACATTAACAAACTAATTCGTCACCAGATATCGTAGATTCCACTTAAGGGGATCGCATCACACGTATTTTTCGTACGTTTTAGACCAATAAGCGGTGGTAAATTACACATACTTCCGAATGTCCGATTTTAACTTTTAATACATGTATGAATTCTTTGACAAATTAACTACGCTTTCTAGGAAGTCGATTTTCAATTTTCAATTTTAAAAAACCATAAAATTAAGATATTTTTTTTAAAAATCTCATGAAATAATTGCATTACATTTGTATTTATTTTGGGAACATCTGGCTTTAAATCAAAAAAGTGGTTCCTACAAAGCATAGTTTAGAAGCTCAGGAATTCAACCCTTTTTTCGAAATTACAATCGAACTTCAGGAAGTATGTTTAATTTACTACCGCTTTTAGTAGTTTTTATAGGTTATGCACACAAGAATATATTTCGTTTCTTGCGATTTATTGACTTGTGCGTGCGCGTGCGAGAATTACATTCGCCGGCTGCCCGACGCGGCGCGACAGTGATTCTCGGAAATACTTAGCCGATAAGAGTTACTGGATAGGTATAGAAAAATAATACTAATGGGCAACAATAATAATGATTATTTCCAAAATTATATATATTATAATAATATGTACAACCCATGTATATTTCAAAAAGAAATAATATACTACCTATCACCTATGTGCTATGATTTATAAATCATTAGACATTTCATTTCAACACTAAGCGCCGATCAGCAAAGTTGTCTGTAAGTTAGTAGTGTTTTGAGTTATTTTTTTTTTATTTTTTGACAAAATGGGTAAAGACTGGCGTTTTGGGCAAAAAACTAGATGCAAGCTAAGTGCACCTAGGACAAAAAAATATCGAATTAAAAATTTACAATTAATTAAGAAAAAAAGTGATATAAATAATAGCTGCAATGATCAGGTAATTATAAAAAATATATATATAATTTATAATAATAATAATATTCTAAAAATTGAAAATTATTTAGTATTCTTTTATTTTAATTGTAACAGGAAAATACACATTTACCAGTATCTGAAAATGTTACGATAAATGAAAACAATATAGAACTTCCAACTGTCACGAGGTAAGTAAAACAGTTATGGGATATTAGTCATTGTGAAATAACAGTTTTAGAACGTAGAAGTTATAGATACTAACATGCTAAGTGCCTATATATTATTGATGGCTATAATAAGTAATAACATACAAAAAGATGTAACTTATAATTATAAAGTATTTTTTTACAAATAATTTTCTCATAAGTTGTACTTATAACAATTTAAAAAAAATTGTAAGTCACAAATTTTTTTCTTATAAGTGTTTTAAGTTCAAATAGTTACGAAATATATAAAAACCGCGAAAGTGAGCAAGTTATTTTGTAGTTGATAATTAATAAAAAATTTAATAGTTAATCCCTAAGGTAAGAAAATTTAACGAAAGATTCTCGATAAGTTTTTCTTTATAAATAACTGTAAAAAAACTTGAGCGTCATTATGCGAAAAATTTAGTTTAAAGAGTCTGTAAATTAAATTTTTTATGAAATAGCGTAAAATAAAAATTTAGCTTCAAACAATTTTAGATATCTGTTTCTATTCAAAAAGTAACTTGAAATTTTCGGCAGTTTGAAGTTCAAATATTGACAAAATTACGAATATTGGCTAATAATTTTTCTTGTTAAAAATGTATAAAAATGTTTGTATTCATCGCTAAAAAAAAGGTAGGTTAAGTATATACAGCTCTGCTGTACAGAAGTTGTTGAGTGGGGGGAGGAGCACTGTACAGGATTTATTAAATTTAAATTCAACGATAAATCATTGCATACGAAAAATGATTCTGAGCGAAGACCGTCCATCAGCCAATAGTATCAAAGAATATAATATGATATTATTGCTGTAAAAGTAATTTATTTTACTACCTATGAGTAATACAGTAGGTTGAATTAATTTTTGGAAAAAACTTTAAATTTTTAAATGCCGTTGTGTTGTTAAAATATAATAACATACTTTAAAAGTTTCAAGTACCCAATAATAATATTTTTAAATTAAAAAAATCAACTGAAATCTTTATTCTTGGATTAAATATCTAATTTTGTCTATTTTAACTTAAAATGTTCTTAAAAAAAACTCTATTAATATATTGTTTAGATTTCTTGATTACAATATTATAAAAATCGAACTTTGTTCAATTACAATTAAAAAAAAAAAGGCACTTTAGAAAATAGAAATACAGATCCCAGGTAGGTACCAGAATGTCTGTATTATATTATTCAAATTAGAGGTACTGACTTACAAATTACTGTAAGTTAAAGACACATAAAAAAGTATTGATAAAAAAAACTTATTTTGATTGTAAAAATATTGTAGGTTACGAAATAGATGGAAATTTAATTTATTGTGATTTTTTATTTGTGTATAGGACTAAAACCAATGATTTAAAATTTATGAACGCCGAATCTTCGTATCATGACAACTTTGCCTTTCAAACTAAATCATTTTTTGCTTCTACTCCGTTAAACACAAAGTTATTTACTGAAGTACTTGGGGAGGAAAATAATAGTGCAGAAATAAATAACTCATTTAATTGTCTAGATGGGAGAAGATTGGTCAATATTAGATATATTTTTGAGTCTATTCAATCGATAAGACACCAAGGGTTTGATTGTTCATTTCGTGACTTGGAATTTACTAAAGAGAAAAGGAAAGGATTTTGCAGTACTTTTTGTTTTACTTGCAAAGTATGTGGCTCAATTGAAAATATTAATAGTGAAAATCCTTCTGATAACATAAATATAAATGTTAATATGGCCGTTGTATCTGCCGTTGTATCTGCCGTTGTAAATACTGGTCAAGGATATGCCCAACTAGAAGAATTTGCTGCAACTTTGAATATGCCGGTAATTTCTAATAGGATGTACCAAGAAATGCATTCAAAAGTGTTTCATTATACCCACAAAATGGCTTTGGAAGGAATGTTATTAGCAGGGAAAGAAGAAGGTAGGTTAGCTGTTGAAAGGGGTGATGTAGACCAGCAAGGACGTCCTAAAATAGCTGTTGTAGCCGACGGTGCTTGGAGTAAACGATCCTATAGAACCAACTATAATGCATTATCTGGTGTTGTAAGTGTAATTTATAAAATGTAAATAAATATTAAAATTAATTAATAATTTTTGGTTTTCAAATAGGCTTGTATTATTGGAGCAGTTACTAAAAAAGTTATTTTTTTCGGAGTCAGAAATAAATTCTGTTGTGTGTGTTTTTCGGCCAAAAAGCTTGATAAAGAGGCAGGGCCTCATAGTTGTTTTTTGAATTGGGATGGACCTTCAACAGCTATGGAAGCCGACATAATTGTTGATGGGTTTAAACATAGTTTAGAGATGCACAATGTTATTTATTCACAGCTAATTGGTATGATAAATAATAAATATATTAAACTAACTTCCATCATTTTTAGTCCTACATAATTATAACAAGAGCTCGGAACTTAATGCACTTAAAAAATTTAATTATTATTTTTTACTGTCCAAATCACTAAATATGCAATAATTATGCACTATAAACTTTTAATATTTTTTTTCTAGTGTCATAAAATTAATTTCAAACTTAGTAAGCTTGCTGATAAATTAAAAAAAAAAAAAATGCAAATACAACAACTTCCGAGCTATTTGGTTTTGCTTTGATTCTAAAACGTTTTATATGTAATTTTATAGGTGATGGAGATAGCAGCGTTATGAAACGTTTACGCATTGCCAAACCCTATGGACCTAATTGCATTGTAAAAAAAGTTGAATGCAGCAACCATTTACTGAGGAACTACATTAACAGATTACGAGATTTAACAAACAAAAGAAAAAATTCTAAAGGTGAGCCAATACCGGGTTATCTCAGAAAAATTATACAAACTCGTCTATTGCGATTACGGTACGCTGTCACTGAGGCTGTAAAATATAATCAACAACTTCAGACAAATATACCATACGAAACCAGATTGATGGTTTTAAAATCAGATTTGGTAAATGGGCCTAACCATGTGTTTGGGGATCATACTAACTGTAGACAGTACTTCTGCCAGGGCACAAAAGAAGGTAGTATCATTGAATATAACTAGTATATATTATAATATAGTTTATAAATGTGTTGAGTAAATTTAAAGTGTATATTTTTAAAATTTATAGGTGAAGATAATCTTGTAGATGAGTTAAAACGATTTGAACTATGGGATGATATAACACGTGCTAGAAATTTACTGACCTACCACACGGAAAGTCTTATGTATAATTTTAATAACAATGCGGCAGAACTTTACAATTCAATATTAGCCAAATTTATCGGCGGAAAACGGGTCAACTTTTCTCACAAAGGTATAACATTTTAATTTTCGTTTTATTGTAATTTAAAACGTGTTATATTTTTATATCGTGTAAAAGTTCACCACATAATAGTTTTAAAATAGTGATTTGCAGAAAAAAATAAACATTGTTATTTATTGTACAACTAATACATTCATTGCTTCGCTTACAATATAATGCCATACGTATAATGATATAAACTCAGGGCCGGTGCAAGACAACATTTGAGGGTAGGCAAGTACAATTTGACGCCCCCTACTATAGCTTTTAAAAACAATTTTAAATACCGCAATATAATAACTAGTTTTTTTATTTTTCAAGTTACATAATTTATGTCAAATAAATATAAATTTTTATTCAGTAGGTACATATTTTTGACCTAAAATTCGGCCCTAGACAAGTGCCTACTCCGCCGGCCCTGCATAAACCGTATTCAAGAGTACACTAGTATACACAATACACATTACACATGCATAATATTATTCAATTTATTGATTATTCACCTTTTAATTTTAAACACAAAATGTTTAGGTTCTTATGAACTTCGCTGTAACGCGGCAGTTACAGCTTACAACGAAGGGGCAAATCGTCTATCTTCGTTTAATAAACAAATAACTGATAAAAGCCCGGGAATGTATACTAAACATTACATAAAAAAAAGTGAAAGGAGAATCGAAAATCATAACCGACGTCGTTGCCTTTTTAAAACAACTGAACGTCCAAAAACTGCTGTCAAACCATTGACCAATACCGGACCAGATGAAAATTACGGAAATGTATTACATGACCCGTTTTTAGATTTGACCGAAAGCCAAATTGAAGAGCATAAACGTGAATACTTGAATAAATTATCATTATCAAAGAGTCAAATAAAAATGTTGGAAATGAGAACGAGAAGGCAACACCAGTGTGAAGAATGGTATATTGAAAGGAAAAAACGGTTAGTTCCTATTATTTATTTAGTATTATTTATCAGCACAGATCCAAGATTTGTTCCGCAGGGGTAAGGGGGAAATTTAAGGGAGATCAGAGGACACCCTCTTATATTTTAACTTTTTTTAAGGTATTACTAAACGGTATTAGCAATACTCCCTCAGTCCCTCGTAGAATTACTTATAGAATATATGATTATTATTATTATTATTGTTGTTGTAATTATCTATGAATTTTATTGAGTTATGATTTATGATTTATATTAATAAATAAAATATTGACAGTCTTACAGCATCCATTTTCGGGAAAGTGTGTAAAATGCGTGATAAAACGTCACGTGCTAAAACTGTAAATGATATTTTATTTGGCACATTCACTGGAAATGCCGCCACTAGGTATGGAATTGCCAATGAAGTAATTGCTAAAGAACAAATGGAAGACATTCTAAAGCAAAAAATACAACCGGCAGGTTTAATTGTTGACAACAATATGCCATTTATAGCAGCCTCCCCTGACGGAATATTGGATGATGAATCATTAATTGAAATTAAGTGTCCAGCTAGTGCAAAAGACCTTACACCAGAAGATGCTATACAGGACAAGAAAATTAAATGTTGCTCAATTAAGGATGGGCAATTGTACTTGAAACGCAACGATAATTATTATTATCAAGTACAGGGTCAACTGCATATCAGTCAAAAAACTTATTGCTACTTTTGTATATGGACCCCAAAAGGTAAACAAAAATTTTAAAAATGATTCACTTAAAATATAGGTACTAGTAAAAACTAATCATTACAGGTTTGATGTATGAAAAAATAAAACGAGACGACGATTTTTGGAAAAACAACATGGAAATCAAAATTAAAACGTTTTATTTAGAACATCTTTTACCCGTGTTAACCAAAGAGAACTTGCTGCAATAAATCTACCGCAATACTTTTTTTTAATCTATTAAATATATATATATTTATAATTTATATACCCATTTATGTATTAATTGTATTTATCATTTATTTGTTTACTCTAAATTGTATCATAGGCATGGTTCAACTGTATATGTCTTATGAATAGTACTGGTTTTAGAATTAATTGATTCAAGATTTGAGGTGCATTGTTTTATGGTAATACTTTTTTAAATAGTTGCATTTTAAATAAAATTATGTAATAATGAGAAAGCCGAGTAGTGGGTACTATGGTAAAAGATAACGCTACAATATAACATAAGATATTAGTACGTACGTAGGTATAATGACATATTTTGTGTAACATTTTAATAATTATTATCATTATCGTAGTTCCGGGAACCATTAAACTGTCGGGCGTCGGCCGGTAGTTGGTGGCATGCGATAATGGACACACACACTAATGTTAATTTACTACTCACACAATGACACAGTTCAAATGTACGTGTGATTTGAATTGCCTAAATATTATTCCTTAAAACACGGTATGCTGGAGCCCCCTTAAAAGTATTAATACTTGATAAATATTTGAGATCAAATACTTAACAAAAATTTTGATTTAAGATTGATGTCTCATAAAATGATTCAAATTGTTAAGAAAAACCTGCTGGGAATTGTATTCAGTTTCTAGAATTTTTACCCTAAAATTAAAATTGTATCATACATATTATACCGAGTCAATTGTAAAGACTAAGAAAGTATAAAATGTCAAAAGAGTGTCTAAATAGTTTGAAAATTGTANTAATAATAATTAATATTACTCTCAATTATCTACACACCAAGTATCTATTTAATAAAATGTTTTATTTATTTTAAACAAACAAACCATGTTAAAGGTGAGATATTTATCAATAGAGTAATATTGAAAACTGGTTGGACAGTGATGTGATATGATATTTTAATCATTTAGTCCAATAAATATTTGAAAATTATTTTTCAGTTATTAACTATTATGAAAATGTATGTAAATAAATATGAGTGTAGTTAATTATAATCCTAATAATATAATTATTATTACTTTTTTAAAAAAAAAAATTTTAAAATGATGTATACATTTTTATCATATGTGTGTGATTGTCTGGTGTATTACAGTGCGCGTTTAGTGTCAAGTCAAAATAAATATTTTTTTTGTGAGAAAGGTCTCAAGTCACATATTTTTTTCTATTTTTCAATGTGTTGATATTTAATGTGGTTAAAAACTATAAGTGTACATTAGTATAGCAATTAAAAATATCGAATAGAATTAAGACGATGTTGCAGATGGCACAAAACAGTAAGTTACTTATTTAGAGCAATAGTAAGTGTAATTCTAATGATTTTATGTTTAATTTTTATTTTATTCAGATGTCAACGTCACAACGGATAGAAAACTTCTAAAGCCGGCTGTTTGCAGAAATTTAGGTGATACATTTCTTTCGCAAACAGACAACAATAATGCCATTAGTTTGAAAAACTATTTAGTAAGTAGTGAGTATACTTATTTATTAGACATGCTTACATGTTACATAGTAAAAATAGTACCTAATAATGTTATATCATAACATAAGTAGTGAATTTAACAAAATATATTTTATATACCTACCTAGTTTATTAAAAACAGTTGAAAACAAATGGTGTTATAGTTAATATTATTTTAAATTAATTATGTATTACTTAGGTAACCATAATAAAAAAATCCACCAACATAGATTTACCTACTTAAGATTTTAATTTAATTAACTGTAGTATGACAAATTATTAAATAATAGAAGTATTTTTATCATTAGGAATGAATAAATAAATCAGATCCGTCGTATGGGCTATCAGACAATGATTATCCATCTTATGATGTCAATGATGTTACAAATGAAAAACATAATTTTGAAGTAATTTCTTAAGCAGTTTATTCATAGTATACCTATTTTAATGTATACGTTATTTTATAGAGTGAATTAACTTTAACAAATCTAGTAGGTAATAAAGTAATATTTTTTGTATTTGTGTTTACAGGGTAATGTACTGTNTTTACTACTCACACAATGACACAGTTCAAATGTACGTGTGATTTGAATTGCCTAAATATTATTCCTTAAAACACGGTATGCTGGAGCCCCCTTAAGCATAACGGCGGCTATACTGTGTTATACTTTAGGTGGTGTTGCATAGCAAGTCGAGGGATATTTTCGATTTGCGGAGCGGAGCGACGACGCCGAGGAGCGTAGCGACGAGTGCCGCTAACAGGGCATCACTGTAAATTATTTCTTATTGTTGGTGTCACTGCTGGATCTCTGGTATATTCTAATTTCTAGTACGAGAGCTGGTGGTGGTATATTTAACTCGAGAATATATGTCGGTGACCAAACGGTGTCGGCGAAACGTCCGTCGGCGAATCAGTGGCGGCGAGAACGCTTGGCGACGAGATGTCCTAGACCCCCATAGGCCATAAGGTACCTAACTACCCTACTAATAATAGGGGTTTTTACTTTTATTAGGTATAAAGTATAAACATAATATTAATATTATTAATAATAATAAATTAAGAATTGTTTTATTTACCTAATTATCTTCAAATCATTAAGGGGGGTTCACACTAACACCGTGTCGTGTCGTGTCGTGTGAAAAATGTTCTCTGATTGGCTGAACCGCGTGGTTCAATTGCATTATTTTATCACACGATACCACCGTAACCAAACGATACCGCATAGTTGAATATATTATTCAACTTTTGGCCGTGTGGTTACAGATAAAGCGCAGAAAAATGATAACTAAAAAAATAAATAAATAATGATAAAATTCAAAATAACCTATAATTAAAATTCAGTTGAGCGTTGAACATTTTTTTCAATTGGTTACTTTTAATTAGCTGGCTACTTGAAATTATTAGCATTTCGTTTGTCAAAGTAAGTACACTAAACTTTTATGAGTATTATATCTACATTTATATTTATTATAATTTCATAAGGTATATTTATAAATATACATTTAATTTTTACGCACTCATTCAGTAAGAACTTAACCATTTGCTTTGATATATTGACACCATAAAGCAGATAGGGTTAAGAAGATGGCTTTGTTAATTGCTTGACACAAATTTACCGAAAATACTTAGGTATCATTAGCAAAAAAACTAAAAACAATTCTTTGGTTATTACCTATTAGCATGCCTAGTATCTAGTATTAAGTATCGATGCATTTACAGACTAAATAAAATATTGCTAATGAACACTAAGCGCACAATTCATGTAATATTGTAGTATAACTAGTTTTTAAGTACAAATTACATGTTATAACTCATTTGCCTTACCACAAGCTTTGATTATAGAGCTAAATTCATAAAAATACTTAACTTTGTAATTTAAATTATTAATAATTGTAACAAGTAAACTTTTAATATTTTAAATTAAAAAAATATATATATTATATTATTATAATAGGTACATTTTTTGAATTTTAAACAATAAAATATATCTTCCTGAAGTTCTTTTTTTGCACTGCACAAAGTAACAATTTTCACTGCACATTTACTTTTCTAACTGCACACTAAAAAAACACTGACACTAACAAAACATGTATAATATAAGTAATATATAACAGTGATTATATCCAGTACCTACATCATATTAACTAATGATTTGAATGCTTTATTGCTTTTAGGGTAAATTCTGTCATGGCTGTAATGCTTTTGTAGTAGAATCTGTAAAGAAGCATGTCTGCCCTCAAAGTATATAAACAATAATTTCATAGATTTATTAATAAATAGCTTTACTGTACATTTAATATTTACTTAATACACCCAGTTAGTACAAACGCCTGGAAACACTGGTACAATTCAAAATATTCTGCCAGGTGCCTCAACTAGTTCTGTTAAAGATATTCTTCCAGATTCAACTCCTATGCCTATGTCTTCTTGGTTTCATTCATTATCAGATCATGATGAGGAGTTACATGATGAAGAATCACCACCAAAAGGTGTTTTCAAATTTATATGCAACTCATTTTATTTATAGATAAATATTGTTTTTTTATATATATATAGATATTACTAAAGTGCAATCAACTTCCAATGCTGAACAAAAAATTGTAGGAGTTTGCAAAGAAGACATGGCTGGTTTAATAACATCAATAGAAGTTGCAGACCACTTTGGTATCACAAAATGTCGTTGGGAGAAAGATCCGAAAATATTAAAAATAATTTATCGAATAAAATATTTACTGAATTTGATGGTATATAAATTTCTTAAATCATATGCTATTATTAATTATTCATGATACATTTTCTTGATATGTAGGCAAATATTCTATTCAGGGATTAAAAAAGAGCTGGAAATATCTTAAGGAAAGATATACTAGGGCAAAAAAATCTGGAGTGAGTGGTTTAACAAAATATATTTTATATACCTACCTAGTTTATTGAAAACAGTTGAAAACAAATGGTGTTATAGTTAATATTATGTTAAATTAATTATGTATTACTTAGGTAACCATAATAAAAAAACCCACCAACATAGATTTACCTACTTAAGATTTTAATTTAATTAACTGTAGTATGACAAATTATTAAATAATAGAAGTATTTTTATCCTTAGGAATGGGTAAATAAATCAGATCCGTCGTATGGGCTATCAGACAATGATTATCCATATTATGATGTCAATGATGTTACAAATGAAAAACATAATTTTGAAATAATTTCTTAAGCAGTTTATTCATAGTATACCTATTTTAATGCATACGTTATTTTATAGAGTGAATTAACTTTAACAAATCTAGTTGGTAATAAAGTAATATTTTTTGTATTTGTATTTACAGGGTAATGTACTGTAACTAGTTGCGCTTATAATAATAGCAAAAAAGAAACTTGTATTACATTAAACAACATCAACTACACACTTGAATTTAGCAATGACACCCAAAATTATAATCAAATTACTGTGGAAAATAATAACTTTAATGATCAAGAAAATGTTTTTAACGTTATAGAAAACGCAAAACAAG